ACAGTAACTATTAACCATGAAACACAATTACCTAATATTACCACAATTACCTAATAAATCCAACTTCAGGTCAGATAATGTAGAACTACTTTTCAGAATGAGTTGTACAACATACAAGAAGAAAGCAAACTTGCAATTTCTACATATATATGTATCTTTTATATATCTGGCTGACATTAAGGACTACAGACGCTGAGATGCTAATAGATACTCTTGTGACACTACAGAAATCTCTAAGAAAGAGATGGTATACAATATGGGCTCTTTCTGCACCACTAATTAATTGCTCAAAATGCAAATGGGATCAAGTACAAACCACCACACCATTGTGGTTTGGTGCCTTTCTGCTCTAGCCTTTTCCCTTTTCTACAGAAAGATAAAAGGGCTGGCATAGAACAGGCAGCTTCATTCACTGGAGGTTTTAGGAATAGGGACTGGAGAAGTAAGGAAAAGAGTAGCCTGGGAAACTGGTACCTGCTAATGGCTCCATGGCCTTTCCCCAATTCTCCTTTTTCTATTGAAAATGGAAAGGAGAAGGAATACAATTTGAGGGAAACCGCTTCTTGATCTGCAATGTTTTTATTTCCCTTTTGTCAAATGTTTCATGGTTAATAGTTACTGTATTATTAATTTAGTAAGTACTTTTATAGAAGTTATCAAGTACAGAAGACACAGGACGAAAATGTTCCTTTCAGTTGCTTCCCAAACACTTCTTACAATTAAAGCATCAGATAAGACTTCAGAATACATAGTCTTATTTTTCAAATGTTAACTTTATGTGTGAAGTGCCTATCACAATTATTATACACTGACTTTTAGTGTATGTTATGCCATCTCAACCACTGGGGGCTCTTTGAGATTCAGAGGAAGGGAAGGCCAGTAGTCTAGGTAGATAATGCCAACAGTTTCAGTGACCCTAAATGTCTTTTTAATTTTTTTAATGTTTTTATTTATGTTTTTGAGAGAGAGAGACAGTGTGAGTGGGGAGGGACACAAAGAGAGGGAGACACAGAATCCAAAGCAGGCTCCAGGCTCTAAGCTGTCAACACAGAGCCCGACACGGGGCTCCAACTCACGAGCTGTGAGCTCATGACCTAAGCTGAAGTCAGACTCTCAACCAACTGAGCCATCAGGTGCCCCCAGTCACCCTAAATATTATAGCATATGATATTAAACATTTTTTTAATTGTTTGTTTTTGAGAAAGAGAAAGAGCAAGCAGGGGAGGAGCAGAGAGAGAGAGAGGGACAGAGGATTTGAAGTAGGCTCCAGGCTCCGAACTGTCCATACAGAGCCTGAGGCAGGGCTCGAACTCATAAACTGCAAGACCATGACCTTAGCCAAAGTCAGATACTTAACCGACTGAGCCACACAAGTGCCCCCAGTGACCCTATATCATATAGCATATGATATATTTTTTTATTTTTAAATGTTTGTTTATTTTGGGAGAGAGAAAGAGTGAGCAGGGGAGGGGCAGAGAGAATGAGGAACAGAGGATCCAAAACAGGCTCCATGCTGACAGCACTAAGCCCAATGTGGGGCTCCACCTCAGGAACTATAAGATCATGACCTGAGCCGAAATCAGACGTTCAACTGACTGAGCCACCCAGGTGCCCCTTATAGCATATGATATTAAGAATACACTAAAAAGGCTTCCTTGAACTCTACCCTTCTTTTGATAGCATTGAACTGGAAATTGGGTAGCATTGAACTTGAACTGTAAAGGGAAGAACTCTGTACTCAGCACTAAAAAAGTCTGGGGTCAGTTTTATAATTCTTCATATTATCATTATTGTTTTTAAAATGTCCAGTTATGTTTTCATCTGGAATAATCAGTCTCTTCCTTTTACTCTTCCAACTGTTTCCTGGGTACTTCCCTTTGTCATCTTGAGTATTGCTAATGTTCTTATAGCATTATGTATATCCTCTATGATGGTGAAACATGATTATCCATTTTTATGCTGATTTAATATTTTTATTCAGCACAATATTTATTTGCCCTACATATACATATTTGTTATATTGCTCCTTAAACTATAAATCAAAGAGATTGAGATTATGTAATCCTCCATGTACAATTGGGCATTTCTTTATTAAACTAAAAAATCTCTTAGAGAATATAGTTTTCAATGATAAAAGGAAGGTAATTTGTTCAGCAGGTAATAGTTAAAAAGAGGCAAGATTTCCAGGCACTTGGTGCTCTGGAGAAGGGTCCACCTTTGAAGTTATTCCATTGTTCTCTATGGTTAAGAAATCCCATGGTTGACTGTGCTGGTAGTTTTCTCCCTTCAGCAAAAAAGAAAAAAAAAAGGTGAAATAGCTAGTGAATTTTGACTTAGATGCATTAAATGGTAACACAACATATTTCTCCTGCAAACTCACCCTATTTTGATCATGTGTGGTCTTGAGCTTTAGAAAATTTAAATGTTTATAGTTGTCCTAATGGAGAGTCTTAGAAGGTTGGACAAAAACTTGGTGTTTCAGGAAAACTTTATTTGACAGAGTTTGTTGATTTTGCTTCTACTTATAACTTTTAATTGAGTATCATACATATACTTTTGGGTATGTACTTTTTTAAAGAATTGAAGAAATCTAGTTTATTTTTTCTAGTTTTACTGAGATAAAAGTGACATATAACATTGTATAAGTTTTAGGAGTACAATATGATGATTTGATATAGGTATATCTTGCAAAGTGATTATTACATATAAGTTTAGTTGATATCTATCACCTCATATAGTTATAAAATTTCTTTTACTTGTAAAGAGGAATTTACTAATTTAAATCCATGGTATTTAGTTTCTTATTACCTATTTTGAGAAAGATTGCTAAAATATAATTCCAGCTTTTCCTCCAAATCATAAGAATCTCCAACAAAGCTTTACTAAACGCAGCCACTCTGATGGAAATCTCTGAATACTACTCATTGCTACCCAGAATCATGTAAACAGCCTTCTTTGCTATATAGAGGCAGCTCAGCAGCTCATAGCCACCAAAATCCTTTGAAGCTCATGAATATAACTCTGGGAAGCCTGATAGTAAGGTTGTATGCATTACCCCTTCCCTGCTTAGGAGTGACTGGATCTTGGCTTCCTTTTCCTGCTGAGCCCAGATGCATGCTTAGGGTCCTTCTCAACAAGTCCTCTAGGGACTCCCTTCAGAGAGTCCATCACAGTTGGCTTTCCAGGTGAAATTTAGTATCTGTCCCTCTCTTTGATGGGATAAGTGGGGCTATGATATTTTCAAACTGCCTTTCTTGAAATGAGATTTATCCAAATTGAGCCTACATTGTAGGAGTATAGGATTTATCCTCACACAGCTAGATATTGAGTTCTGGTTCTGACCTTTACCAGCTGGGTGATAGGGGGCAAGTCACTTGGCTTCTCCAAGCCCCAATTGTTTCATTGATGAAGTGAGACAAGTCCTACCTACTTCTGAATACTAAGGATTAAATAAAATATATTTTTGAAGTTTATTTATTTATTTTGAGAGAGAGAGAGTACATGTGAGAGCACAAGCTGGGGAAGGGCAGAGAGGGAGAGGGTTAGAGAGAGAATTCCAGGCATGCTCCACACTGCCAGCATGGAGCCCGATGCAGGGCTCAAACCCAAGAACCACGGATCATGACCTGAGCTGAAACCAAGAGTCGGGAGTCTTAATCAACTGAGCCACCCAGGTGCCCTAAATAAAATAATTTTTATAAAATATTTAGGGTACTGTCTAGCTCCACAGCTCTCACATTTTTGATCCCAGAATCAAAATTGAGTTTTGTTTATGTAGACAATATTTATTAGAAACTAAGAGTAAGAAATGTTTAAAATATATATTAACTTTAAAAGTTAAAATTATAACCCATTATATGTCAACATATAATATATGTGTTATTATATATAACATATATGTGTTATATATAACCCATTATATGTCAACATATAATATATATGTTATTATATATAACATTTTGGGGAAAATAACTATATTTTCCAAAAAAAAGTTAGTGAGAAAAGTGATCTATCTGCTTCTAATTAAACCTGTTGCAATATTACACATCATGCAGCCTCTGTAAAATCCTACTGTACACGTATGAGAGTAAAAAAGGCAAATACTATCTTAGTAATAAGTTTGAAAAGAGTTTTGATCTCATAGACCCCAGAAAGGGTCTTGGTGACCTCAGAACATACTTTGAGAATTGTTGGTATAGCCAGTAGTTAGCACCCAAAGAATTGTAGTTATTATTGATATTCATGGAGATTTTTGTAACTATCAAGAACTATACAAATATCAGTTATGAGAAGTAAAGGCCATGGCTTTCGAACTTCTTACTCTATACATTCCTAGAGGGTCTCAAATAAGATTGTGATTCAGATTAAGGAAAAAAAAACTGTTTTTTTTTAAATAAATACTAATTATGCATAAATGACTTCTTTGGGTTTAAAAGGCTAAAATCTTGCTTTCAGGAATTTGTCAAATATAGTATTACAAAGCTTTCTTTCTTTCTTCTTCTTCCCCCCCCCCCCCAAGAGAAGAATTTCCCCCTATTCTGCCAGGGTAAGAAGATCTTAGTAGAGAGAGCAGTAACTAGATATTTACTCTGAAAGCACTGATAGAGTTGGAATGGGATCATGGTAGCCCACTAGTTTTAAGGAGGAGTGGCCTCATTGTCATCATGTTAGGCTTCATGATTGACAGGTCAATCTTGATTTACTGGTCAGAGAACCTTGACTTAAAGCATTTATTACTGTTTGATTCTCAGATAGAAGATCCTCTAAAGGGCCTTTTTGAAATGGATTTGGATTATGAAAACAAAAAGCAAAAGTTATGTAACAGAGAATTTAAAACAGGTTGTCTTAGGAAATATAGGTAGGGTTCATATATGAATCTTAACAAGATATATGAGTATAGTTTATATCAGCTCTACGTGTACTTTGCAGTCATAGAGTCCTCTAATTATATAAATTTTCTCCTTTCTTCCTCTTTTTCTTTGGGGGGGGTGGTGTAGACCATGGGGAATTCATATGCTGGGCAACTGAAATCTGCTCAATTTGAGGAAGCTCTCCACAACTCCATAGAAGCCTCTCTCAGATGTAGTAGTGTGGTTCCACGGCCAATTTTTTCCCAGCTGTACCTGGACCCTGACCAGCATCCTTTCTCATCTGCAGGTAAGTTTCTCAATCCCACACATTTCTAGATTTCTTTTAAAAGAAGTGGAAATTCCAAATCTGGGGACCTCTGAAATAAATTGATATAATATTAGACATTGCTAGTCTTCCTGTCCTCTGATATCTTTCAGAAGTATGAATTTTTCTTTTGGTTATTTTTTCTATAAGCATCTTTTTATTAAATTAGTTGTAATTTATTTGCTCACCCAGATGTAAAACCCAAGGTGGAGGATCTGGATAAAGATTTGGTGCACCGCTACACTCAAAATGGAAGCCTGGATTTTTCTAACAATCTAACAGTTAATGAAATGGAAGATGACGAAGATGATGAAGAAATGTCTGATTCAAATAGCCCACCAATTCCCTATTCACAAAAACCTGCCCCAGAAGGGTCTTGCACTACAGATGGTGGGTTTCTTTTCTTTCTTTCTTTCTTTCTTTCTTTCTTTCTTTCTTTCTTTCTTTCTTTCTTTCTTTCTTTCCTTCCTTCCTTCCTTCCTTCCTTCCTTCCTTCCTTCCTTCCTTCCTTCCTTCCTTTTTTCTTTTCTTTTCTTTTCTTTTCTTTTCTTTTCTTTTCTTTTCTTTTCTTTTCTTTTCTTTTCTTTCTTTTACCAATTCCTCTTTATTGTCTGGCTAGTTTTCAATCATTACATGTGGTGCTGAAGGCTGGAAACCAGTAATTACAGAAAAGAATGAGGAATGATTATGGTCTCACTGACATTATCTTCTGTGACTTCACAGCAGGTGTCTATAAGAAAGACAGGTATTATTGCTTCATCTTATAGATGAAGAAAGTAAGATTCACAGCAGTTGAATGACTTCTCTGAGATGATATGTGGCAAAAGCAAGCCTAGGCCCAAGTCAGGGCTTTTCCTGCAAGAATGCTACTATCTCAGGTACTTTTTAAGTGTCCTGTCTTCCTACTTCTTTCTGTTCCAACCTCAAAAACATTAATAGAGATATCAGATGTTTTATATTTACCTTTTTCATTTATTCTGAACACTCATGCAGTATAGTGTTATCTGTAGAAGATAAAAATGTACATATTTTGATAATCCCATTTTATTTATTTTGTCAACCTCCTCTTCCACCACGGCTTTAACCACACTTTAAAAAGGAAATCCTAATATAAAACATTCTCAGTATTTCATGGTTTTGATGATGTCACAACTTTAAAATATACTCTCTTCCTTACATTTAGTATTTACAGTGCTATTTTCTGGTAATCCCAACCTAATTAGTATGTGGATTCTACTTTATCCATATTAGCCAGAGTGCAGTTTTTATACCCTGATTGACTTGGACCTGGGGTGTTTACAATGCATGCAAATCCTAGGGGTGAGGAGTGAGGCGGAAAGGGGTAAGATTTCAGGACATTCTCCCTACACAGCTTGAATTGTAAATAATTTGGGGTAAACTAAAGATTCAAATGTGCAAATCCAGATAAATGAGTTTGCACTGCTTGGAAGTTTTATTATTTCTTGACTTTCTTTTCTCTTTCTCTTTTACCTTCCCTCCCTCTTTTCTTTTTTCTTTTTCTTTTCCTTTCCTTTTCTTCCTTTCAAGAATTTGATAAGCTGTAAAGAGCTCAAAATCCTTAATCCTATCTGCACTATTTCTTATAAATTTGCTTCCAGATGTGATTGATTTATTTTGCCCAGACTTAATATTATGCATCAAATTTACTCATTATTCTTGGTATGATAGGTAGTTGTGTAGCAAGTGACTGGGTTAGGTTTCCACTTGGCTGTTTTATATCCATTTTTGTGCCTTTTATTTATCAGTCAAGTCATACTTAACAGTTAATGACCAAATATTGAAATTGTGCTTAAAATATTGTTGGCTTGTCATTGAGAATCTTGTTATATTTAAGAATTAAATAGAACGAGAGTCAAAGCTTTAGGGGATAATTATGAAATATCAAATTTTATACCAAAAATGGAGGAGGGGCTCTCCTGTTTTTCCTGTGCTCTAAATATGTTTTAGTTTGCCTTTTGGGGTGCTGACACTGGTATTACTAACAATCAGGTATATTTAGTGTTCACCAAGATACACTCAGTGATCTAACAGAGAGCAACTATTTCTTGAACTTTAAAACATGAGAACACTACTCTTACCATGAGGCGATTATGTAAAGTGTAAGGGAAGGGTAATAGTTAATTTTAGATATGAAGGAAAAAGATTTGGAGATGCAGTTTTTCTGGGGGGGGAAACAAATATAGCACCCAAGCATAAATTCAAATTCCAAGACAACCTGAAAACACAGGTCATAGACGTAGATTCCTACATCAGCTACTTTGGTTTCTTATAATTAATTGCATGTCCATATTTTTTCCCCTTTAATTCACCTCAAGGTGGCCATTAAAAACAAAAAGCATAGTTCATAATTTGATAGTTTAAAGTTTGTCCATAGCTGTTTCAATTTGGCTCATTCTAGGGTAGTTCTAAGAACCCTCTCACCCAAAGACAGAACAGTTGTGAAATTTTTCTTATAGAAATGACAGTGAATTAGGACAATGTAATGCCTGGACTTGTTTTAGCATACCACCTTCCCTTCATGGGAAATCCTCTATTTACCTAAGACTTAAAGGAAGGTAAAGCTATTTTTAGAGGCAATTTAGATAAGCAGATACTTAATACCTGATGGGCTTCTGGGGGTTACCATTCAGATGTAAATTTTGGTTGCTAATTTCTTATGTAAATTATTGGAATAGTGTAGGTTCCCACCCTGCTGGGAGGCAGTTGATTGTCTAAAGGGGTGAAGGGCAACCAAATTTGAGGCTTCCAAATACTGCTTTGATTACTTTAGTTTGTGTTTACAGCTGTTTCAGTAAACTTTCCCCTCCCCCCGCTTAGATTACTCTGTAACCTTCAAGTTGGAGATAATTGGAGAATGCAAATCTGGTTCTGTGAAGTGAAAACCTTGGCTATTTTCTTAAGGAAATGCAGATGAAGTTTACAAAGAAGGGCCCTCTACCATTATTCCTTTTTTTAAATTAAAATAATTTGCTGCAAAGGTCTTGGGGTTAAGGCAGCATTTCAGTATTATTCTCAGAAAATGAAGCTATTTAGGGACAAGTTTGTTATTTGTGTGCCAACATCGATAACTTATCTTTCCTTACTTGCATACAGTAAACAGGCATAGATCCTTCCTTAGGGCACTCTTCCCCCAGGTCTTCCAGAAGCCCCTAAAAAAAGATTCTGTCTTTCTTTCAGGATTAGTTCAGATGTGATTCAAAATCACACTACAGGGTTGTAGTAAGGTTTCTTTTCATTTTGTTTGAGGTTTTAATTGAGATTGAGTAGTTGGTCTTTATTATATTAATAATCTGACATATTTCTAGAGACCAGAACTACCTGTTACACTAGATATTTGGATCCTACAGACCTTCAAATATAATCACATTTCATAGATTCTTTAGCTACTCACTCTTTTTTTCTTTACAGACACACAGAGCTTATTTTCATTCTTAAAAAAATAAATATTGTTCTTTGCATAATGTTTTTTCTTACTTGGGGATCCCTCATAATATATTTTGTATATAATTAGCTGATCTGA